TTTCTGAGATTAAGGGTCTACCAACCACACATAAAAACATGACCTTAGTAATGAAACGCTTTGACTTGCATGTTCTGTAAGGGTCCATTTCATTCGGAGTCAAGTAGTATTTCTGTGATGTCTTGGACATGAAGAACCATTTCTCATCCATGTGAAGAACATTATGGAAAGATCTAAACCTCGGGTTAGATGGGATGCTAATGGGTTCTATCTGATTCAAACAAAATTGCAGTCTTTGTAACTTGTTTGCATCAGTTAGGTATGGTTTAATTGCATTTGAATGACTTCTGACCAATCCTCTTTTAATACAAAGATGCAATGTAGACTTTGAAATACCTAAGGCAGCAGCCATGGCCCTAATGCTTGTTCTTTTGGCTAGAGGAATGTTCGGGATGGACTCTATGTCTATCACCTTCCTTTTCCTTCCACACTTCAATCGAACCTGACTATTCACATCAATGGCAACACCCCCCTGCATTTGTTTTCTAGCTCTACTACATATCTCCCCTACAGATCTTCTTGAAACATTAAATTGAGCAGCAACCTTACTGATAGCTCCTTTCTGAGCTGTGTACTGACCTGATTTTGTTTTTGTGTACGGTAAGATTGCTTCTACAATTCTTTGTCTTTCTGAATTTGTGAGCCTTTTGCTCCTTATTTCATTTTCCATTTGCAGGTTCTTATCTCTGCTTGGGAGAGGAGGAACATCACTGTGAGGAGGAGCAGCGGTGTGAGGCGGAGCATCGGTGTGAGGCGGAGCAGCGGTGTGAGGCAGAGCATCGGTGTGAGGCGGAGCATCGGTGTGAGGCGGAGCAGCGGTGTGAGGCGGAGCAGCGGTGTGAGGCGGAGCAGCGGTGTGAGTATCAGGCATGTGAGATGAATAGTGGGCAGGAGCTGCAGTTTTTTTTTTGGGGGTGGAGTTTCTAATTTTAGAAGGGTTGGATATTTATAGGATATGGCCTTGGTGGACTTTATGTTTGTATTTGGAGGGAAATTTTTAGAAATTTCCCTCCTATTTGTAAAATGATTTCATTTTTGATTTTGAGACTAGTGCCAAAAGTTTGCCGTAGTTGTAATAGATCTGACAATGAATAATTCGAACAAATCAATGTGTGGCTGTGATCTTTTCTTTTACAAATGCTCCAATGGTTTTTTTAAGGGGAGGGTATAATTGGAAGTCAAGGTGTAAAAGTTCCCTCCCTTAAAAATGAAGAAAAGTTAATGTGGGAAGCTCATTATAGGACGGAGGGAGTAACTTTTACCCCTAATTGTCCTTAACCTACATATCACATATTTGCATCTATAAGCTATTAATCTTTCATCAAATCTTACTTTTTACCTACCACATCCAATGACATTTTTGGAAACTCAACACTAAAATATACTTCCCCTAAATGCCTTAAAAATTGGTATCTCCCATGTTTTTGGGGACGGATAAAGTATATTTTTACGCATGGATGTTTCTAAATAATTTATGCCTAGTTGGATATTAAAATAAAACAAAAGAAAATCTCACAACCCCGACAAACGTAAGCTCACCAAGCCCAGCGGCCCCAGCCCATTGAACAAGAATAGCCTGCCCAATGTGTGTCCGGAATTGAAATACACCATCCATCCGAAAAAGAATGTTTCACCATTAATATTTCCGCTTCTCAAAATTTTTTATTTGTTTACTCGTTTTGAGTGATCATTTAATAAAATAAAATATTTTTGTTACATCTTATTTTATAAAACTTTGATGTAATTTTAAATAATGTAATTTTTACCTTTTTATTTCTCTACTCATTTGTAAATAAAATATTTTGCACGTTGTTTAAAATGTTATAAAGAATTTTGGAATAGAGGATATTTATTTAAACATGTGTGGGGAGTTGGTGTGTATTGTAATAGAGCAGTGGTAATTTGTCATTGAAGTAATTTTTTGTTAAAAATGTCGCTCCTTTTTATTTTGTTTTTATAATGTCATTGAACTTTTTATCAATGTAAAAAATGTTGCTCTCATCTTTTATATCGGGTTACATCCGGTTAAAATAAAGATTTAACAAATACCACTAAACTCATTTCTATTTGTAAAAAATGGTCATTCCCTTTTGTATTTTTATATCATACATTTTTTTTTATAAATGATCAATTTTTAATATGTCATAGAATTTTTTATTACTCCATACTATATTTTTTTTTTGCTAAACATTTTTCATTTTTATTTTTTTGGTGTTTTCCTTCGATTTCTCAAGTACTTAATTCTTCAACTCTTTCAACTTACAAGTATTTATAAAAGCTCACTTTTTAAAATACCATACTTTGTACTCTGTAATTTACAAACTACAAGATATTCTTTTCATTTGTCATTGATTTTGATAATAAAATGATACTACCTCTAGATTAATATATTCGTCTAGTTTGAGTTTCTTAAATCAAGTTACATAAACTTTGATTACTAATTAAATAAAAATTATATTGTATAATCGAAAAAATATTTATTCAATTAATCTTGGAATTTTCAAAAGGCTATTTTATTGTTGTAATATGCAATGCGATTTTTATATGATTGATGATTAAAATTCTTCTAGTTTGAATAAAAAATCAAATAAAAAAGAATACTCCATATCATATATTACAAAATTATACGGAGTATTTTTTAGGATTTGATTTCATAATAAATACAGTCTCTCTGAGTTGATGAAATTAGTCTTTATGATTTGATACAATTTAAAAAATTACTCCGTAAGTAGGAGAAGGGGTAGACCTAAGAAGAATTGGAAGGAAGTGATTAGACAGGATTTAGAACTTCTCACCCTGACTGAGGATATGGCTTTAGATAGGAACCTTTGGAGAACTAGGATTAGAGTAGTTGGTTAGAAACTCGGTGCTATAGAGGTTTTTTGTAGTGTGTTGTGTTTGTTTGGAATCTTCTATTAATGCTTGTAGAACTTTCTTTTCATTGTACTTGGTGTTTTACCCATGCTATACTGTATACCCTATTATATTTTTTGTGCAGGTTGAGCCGGGGGTCTCTTGGAAACAGCCTCCCTGCTTCCAAGTAGGGGCAAGGTCTGCGTACACACACCCTCCCTAGATCCTACTGTAGTGGGATCCAACTGGGTTGTTGTTGTTGTTGTACTCCGTATAAATCAAAGAATTTTAATTGATCTGTTACAGACATTAGAATGGTACGTATTTTTAAACATCAATAAAAAAAAAAGGTGACATTCTTTTTTCAACAAAAAAGTGTCATTTGTTAAACTTTTTATTTTGTTTTAACCGGCTCTAACCTGTTAAAAAAGATGGGAGTGACCGTTCCGACAGTTAATAAAAAGTTGCATTACAGAAACAAAATGGAAAGTGACATTGACAATAAATAAATAAATAAATATTTCACTGACATTTTTATCACTGCACTATGTACTTTAGAATGCACATAAAAACTGATATTGCATGATTAAAATTATAATTTTCATTCCCTTATGGAGTCAAAGATTCACTATTTTTTGGCTTTGGACAATTTGGGGTATGATGGAATAAAACAAATTGGTTTTTTAAACTGTTTGCGCTTCTTGCAATTGTGAAGTAGTAGTTAGTCAATGTAACTTTCGATGCTCATGATGAATCATTTGGAAATAGTCACTCTATGTTTTAAACACAGGGTCACACTGCGTACATCCGACCCCCTTCCACCCCGGAATAGGCGGGAGCCATTGAGGCCCGGGTGTAATGTTGTTGTTGTTTTGTTGTTGCATGATTAAACTCATACATGCAATCTGCACTCAAGGATGCACATAAAGCTGATTAAATTCATTCATGGCAAAGGGAAGTTCAAGAATCAGATACAAGGACTCAAAACAAACTAACTCAACATACATTACATATGTATATGTTCTTATTAAGATAGATCAAGAAACTCACACTTTATGTACAAAAAGAAAACTATAAGTTACATGCATGCAAATATATATATATATATATATATATATATAAAATATTACAGCTCCAACTGCAAACAGCTTATTGAGATTTGGAAAAAGACATCAACAACAATAATACACTCACTTTGATTAAGAAAGTAACTGTGATCCATAATGGTCATCTACTGCTGATTCCCCTGCAGAAATTTCTTCTGGGTGGTAATGTAGTATCTCCATCCACATCCTCTCCCTTATCGTCTCCTCTGCCAAATCCTCGTCTATGTCCAGATTTATGGGGACCTCAGCTGGCAGGTCACAGTTTGGATCATACAATGACGACATGTAAGGGTGTTGAAGTGCCTCAGTGACACTTATTCTCTTTGAGGGATCAAACACCAGCATCTTCTGCAGCAGGTCAATTGCCAGAGGATGCGCGTTCGGGTAAAGCCGCGAAAGTGGTATTTTTGGAGAGTAAGGAAGGGACTTGATGTACTTCTTTGCCTTGAGGTTGTCGATGAACTCAATGTCCTCTTCACTCTGGCTCCCAAGAATGTTGATGATCAGTTTTAGTTGGTTCAGACACTCTGTGCCGGGGAAGATTGGTTTCCTACCCAGCAACTCAGCAAAGATGCACCCAACAGACCAGACATCGATTGATGTCCCATAGTTGTCGCAGCATAGGAGAAGTTCTGGTGCACGATACCAACGCGTCACAACATACTCTGTCATGAACTGGTCCTTGCCACTGCTTGTGCGCGCCAGTCCAAAATCACAGATTTTTAAGTCACAATTCGCATTGATCAGCAGGTTCCCAGGCTTCAAGTCGCGGTGAAGAATATTTGCAGAGTGAAGATACTTGAGACCTCGAAGCAACTGGATGCAGAGAGAGAAACATTAATACATTGAAAAGACACAGCCTCTTTATGTCCAAATATGACTCTTTTTTTTTTTAGTTTTTACAAACCTGGAACAAGAAGTACTGGCAGTGGTCTCCTGTGAGTGACTGGGAGGACTTGATAATCTGGTGCAAGTCTGTGTCCATGAGCTCATAAACCAGATAGACATCCTTGAAACTCCTCTTGTGAATGGGCAACATGACATCTTTCAAGCCAATCACATTGACATGCTTGAGATGGCGAAGGAGTTTCAGCTCGCGCAAGGTTCTGAGAGCATCGACGCGGTTCTCAAAGGCATTGTTTATCTTCTTGATGGCGACCCTTTCGTTCGTTACCCTGTTTATGGAGGAGCAGACAATTCCGTATGCTCCCCGGCCTATAGGCTTGATTGGCACATACTTTGTATCGATCTCAAACAATGTTTGCCACATGGAGTAGTAATGCTTCCCATGAGCAAAAACTCCATTGGGAGGATCAACTGGAGTAGCCATTCCCAGATATGTTGCAGACTGTTCAAGTAATTTATTACAAACAGATCAGTTATTCTCTCAAAACAGGAAGACAAAAAAAGTAGAATTGAAAAGATAAAGCATTTAACAGCCATTCAAATTGAGACTGGTCATCTAAAAAAAATCTGGCCAATTAGGAATAAAGGCAATAAAGGGTATTCAGTCAACAAAAAAAGGAGATCAAATTTGAGTTGAAAAAAATCACTTTTTCCTTCCAAGGCCAATCCAATCCAAACGAGATCTTGGTAAAGAGAATCTTTTACAGGAACACCAAATAACCCACGCCAAAGAATATCTCCAGAAGTCAAATCCAAGATACTTTAGGGCCCGTTTGGATGCAGAATCTGGAAGGAAATGAATTATGGGGAGATAGAATTTGAATTGATTTGAAATTAGAGATATACTCCGAAGTGATTTTACTCTCAGATTAAAAAGATTTTTTTTCACTCATCTATTGTTATGTGGAGCTATGCATTTAAATTAAAGTTAATTTATGACAAAAACGAGGAAAACAAAGATCAAGAAATCAAGAAGCAGGGAGTAAAGAAAGAGGCTCACCTGAGAAGATCTTCGATTGGGTTTTCCGGGATTCTTCTTCTAGGGTTCAGACCGGAT